CCGCCAACTCCACTATAGAGAGAAGGGAATAGAATACAGTTGTATTTAATTGGATGGATTGAATAATGAGGGACTATGAATTTCTTAGATTATTTAGTTAGATTGGATGTGTATTATGTGTTTATTTTTTTATAAGATTAGATATCTAGAAGAAAATATTTTTGGTGAATCTAATGTATGGTTGAACCGATTAGATAGGATAAATGAGTAAAAGACTATTTTACACTTTTCAAATTATTAATTAATAATAATATTAAACATATCTTTAATATTTTAATTATTTTTAACTAGATGAAATAATTTTTTTTACACAATTAAATTTTAAATTGAGACATTTAAATTTTAATGAATTTTACTAAATATAATACATAATTAAATAGTAGAGGGTCAAAATGATCATTTCACCACCTAATCCCCACAGTAAATAGTTCGATGAAAATTGTTCCACACCTCCCTCTACGAACAGTATAATCCCACATAGATAAGGAGTTCGGTCGAATTCTATGTCCGACAGACTAAAAAAAAAACAAATGTCGAACAAAAATCTTCCCCTGAATTACAATCACAACAGTGGATGGTTCCCTCCTTAATTCGACGAATCAAGCGCACCCACAATGCTTACCTCTCAACCTTCATTTGGGATGTGTGGGGTGATTTTTTAATTTTTTAGTTATTTTAGTCCGGGGTTAAAAGTTCCTTTTGATATTTTAATTTTTGTAAGAAAAAAAATAAAATGATTATAATTTAAATGTGACATTTAATCTTATTTAATTAAAATAACAAATTTTATTTTATATAACTATCTTAGCCCAAATAAACATGTCCAACATAGCCACTGTGGTTGCCCCAACCACCCTTCATTCATTTGGACCAAGGGATCCACCTATGATAATCTTTATTTATTTATTTATTTTTATTTACAAACAGTTCATAGTATATGATTAGTCAATGGGCAATTTGTAAGTTAGCTAAAAACTCTTTTTGAGTTATATCTCCTTTCACATTTTTTATATACAACAAGATAATAAAAAAAAGTTTTAAAAAAATCAAAAAATTAATTTTTAACCAACTTTTCAAATCATCCCTGAGTAAACTATGCATGTAAAGAAATTAAATTAATTAGAAATTTATAATTTTGTAATAGGAAAAAATAAATGTGTTCACGTGAATTTAATAATCTTTTTAAAATAATTAAAATATGATCATAGAGTTGCAATCTTCAATTAATAATTTTTTTTATATAAATAATATATTTGATGAATCTTACAATATCAACAATTCTAACAGGATTCTATAATCCCATTTTGTTCGAGAGCTTCTCCCTCTACCCAACTTGATCTAGAGAGCTCAGCCAGCCATCACTCTGTTGTCTACCACAAATGGGACAATGCAATGCCATGCCAGCCTCACTTCCGCCGGTGGAAAGCAGTACTACCGACGTTTTTTCATGTAACATGGCGCATGACCCCATTGACAAACTCAATGAGATATAATTAAAATAATATTATAATTAAAGAAAAAAATATGTCATAATTAAAAAAAATGACTTAATTAAAGATATATGTAATATATTTCTTTTGTGTGTGTGTATGTTAAAATTTCTCTTATTAAATTTTTGTCGAACATTAGATTTCGAACATCAAATTAATGTTTCAAACATTAGATTGATGTGCAAATGGGACTAAATGGTGCATAACAAAACTTTTAGGACTAAATGGTTCAACTTTTCAGAAACTAGTACTTATGGGTAAATTTTCCTAAAATCATTACCAAAAATACAAAAAAATAAATAAATAAATAAAATAAAAAAATACAAAGATTATAGACAAGAAAGCTTAATACAAAACAAACCATAAAAGACAAAACAACCTTGAAAGCTTTACGAAGGGAGAACAAATCTGAAACAAGAATTCTCACAACTCTAGGATCTAGGTAAAACAAAATATTGAAGCTCTCTGTTACAGCTTGAGAATACCATTGCCTCTTTCACCTTTTCCTCGAGTGAACTTCAAATCATGAATTTCTTCTTTTAATTTCGTCTTGATCTCATCTCTTGAAGTTGGGAGACATTCAACTTTGTCATTACTAATACAAGAATTAAGCACACTACAAGAAGTTAGTAGTAATGCTCACATTTGGCACATCATTTTTGGATCCCTCCCGTGTCTTGAAGCAGGGTTCATTTTGGACCTATTTTATAGAGTACCACCTCAAGGCACAATCAATTAAGGACAAATATTTAATCACTGAGATGTGAAAAAAATAATTATAAATTAATGAAAATTTTTATAAATATTAATAATTAAATTTGTATTTTTTTTTTTTCCTGACACTACTGTAGTGTAGTAATCCCATCAATTAAGGGGTCATCACTGTCACATGGAGTGGTAGGATGTGAAAGTCATTGTATTCTATTATATAAAATCTTTTATATGACATGCTTTTTATGCCCAAATTAACTTTCTCCTATAATTGTCAAATTTAAAGGGTTTTATTATTATTATTATTATTATTATTGTATATCTATGAGTGTGAAACCCTGCTAATATATAATGAGGGAATTTCAAATCAGTGTATAAGTTAAAAAATAATTATAAATTAATGATAAATTTTATCAATTTTAATATTTCAAATTATAAATTTTTTCATATATATATATATATATATATAATTTTCTGTAGTTATCATTCACAGATAATTTTTTTTCATTTATAATAGTGTGTACTCATGTACAAATTGAAGGGTGAGAAAGTGGGCAAGTAGGGCCTCAAGGGATCACTCTCACCAAAACTACCCAACATAGTGATGGATTTAGAATGTAGAGAGAGATCTTTTTGAGAGTGATATCTCAAGAATAGTTGAGTACATTTTACATAAATATTCAACCATAACCTATCTCATGAATGGTGATGGGTGGACATTAATATGTGTCACACCATACTTGCACTTCTTTGTGGCATTGCTCGTACAATACTTTAATTTTAATTTATTTAATATTATTAATTTTTGTTTTGACAATTTTTACCATTATTAATCTTCTCTATGTGTGCCATGTGGTGGGCTGGGAATGTACCTGGTAATAGTATGGGTGCATGAATTTAAATCATACATCTAATATTTGTTTTAACAACAATGCTAAATGGTCACAATTTTTGTTGTCATAATGGCTCAAAACTATTAAAACGACGTCGTTTTGGGTACAAAACATGCCAAAACGACGTCATTTTGACAGTTTTGAGCCATTGTGATCACAAAAATTATGACCCTTAAACATTTTCCTTGTTTTAATATTATTAATTTTTGTTTCGAACTCAAATCATACATCTAATATTTGTTGTGGCCATGCATTGGGAAGAGCTACTACTGGTCTCACTAAATTTGATAGGGCCCAGTGCTTTAGAACCATCCCAACTCCATTATTATTTTTATAATTTAGTGTTCGGATCAATTTATATATTTCGACTAATTTTAAGATCTTAAAATTAATAATTAGACAAATTTTTAGTAATCTCTTAAGATGACTTGAACTTGAGATTTTAATTTTTATTATCAAATCTTTATTACTCACTATAACATATAAAAGAGTTTTAGTGATCAAATGTTTTGATCTCTAAAAGTGAAAATTTTGTTGCGAAAGACATTTAAGGACTAATTTCTATCGTTATGTGGATAGTCGTTAAAAGGTCGTCCCGAAAATCAAAATAAGGTTTTTGGCGACAAAATTTTGAAAATATCATTAATAAATAAACTTTTAGGGACAAAATAATTTGATTTCAAAATAATTTATTTTTTGAGACAAAAAATTTGGTCCCAAAAGGATAATAATTCATCACTAATGTCTAATTTTTGTTGCTAAATACATAATAACGATACTTTTCACAATAAAAATATTTAATCCCTAAAAAATAATTTTATCACTAAATTTTAATTTCTAAAACCTTAATTTTTTATAGTCTCTTAAGTTTTATGATTTAAATCGTGGACTCATGCTGGCCAACACTACGAAGCCATCGAAGTTCAATGGGTACAATGTTCGGCCCAGTCTCTCCATCTATTCATAATTTGGGGGCGAAATTGATACCCACTAACCCAATATTTATTGACAGTTCACCATGCAACACAGCTCATTTAATTCAGTAATGATAGAGATTTTCATAAAATACAATCTTACAACTTTTAAAATAATCGAAACTATTTATGTCATTGTCAGAGATAGAAAAAAAAAATTTCAAATACATCAGTGATCAATATATCAGAAGGGGTCATGGGGGTCCTCTTTTGTAAGGGTTCCCAACATTTTTCCATTTAATTTTAATTTAAGAAGTTATAATTAATTAAAAACAGATAGTTTACTAACTTGGACCACGGGCCTGCAATGTTTTCAAACCTACCAATATACCAATTAGCAAATTCGCATGAACCTACTAACCAAGAAATAACTATGTTGGGTTCGATTTTCAAAATTTATTTTAACAAATAATAATAATTAAATTAAAAATTAATTTGATAAAAAAAGAAGAAAACACTATAGTCTAATATTTTGGGAGGATAGAAATAATTTTTGAAATATGAAAATATCTTTTTAATGTTTATTTTGTCAAATTAGTTTCCAATTTTTCAAAAAAAAAAAAAAATTCTTAATTTTTTTTCAAAAAATCAAGCCAAACATGGCCGATGTTTTGTGAAGAATTTTTAGTCATTTTACCGGATGAGATGAACATTGCAAATTGCACAGTAATCCTTCTAATTTCAAGAATAAGTTGTGTCTATTTATTTATTTATTTGTGGATTTTGAAATTTGGAGTGTAATATTTGCTTGTGATATTCACATAACATTTTTCCATTTATTCAAAAGCCAATTTTAGATATTTGTATTGATAATGAAAAGAAGGCAAAGAAGAAACTCCATACAAACGTATAACCAGTCATTATTGTGGTTTAAAATCAAAAAAAAAAACTAACAATACTAAACATAACATAAATTATAATGCAGTGTCATAACAATATTGTGTTTCGATTCTTACAAAATAGTCTCTGCAAACTTCTGTAAAAACAATGAAATATGTAAGTACAAAAAAGCCATGTAGACCTAATTGCATGGAAAATTATAATTGTGGCTTATATTATCAATTAAATAAAATAACTTACAACATGCATGCACTATAATGCAATCTCGCAAACAAATGTTTTGCTTCTCAAAGGAATAGCTATATGTTACAAAAGAAATCAAACCAGACATCATTCCCCACGTTACCATTGTCAGTGGAAAGGGCCTAGAGAGTTTTGGAATTCCTCCCTGATGAGCCCTTTCTACTTACAACGGGGACGTGGAGCTTTTGGCCGAGCTCACACTGAATCCCAACACCAGAGTAGTAGTAATGGTCACCAGGCATCGTGAAGTTCACAATAAGGGGCCCCGAGGAATATGTGTAGATGAGGTTTTCTTGTTTGCATTCATCAAAATCATCTTTTCCAACCTCTACCACATTATGCAAAGGTGACCTAAATGCGAAAACTGCAAAAAATGGTTTTGCCAATAAGACAACGATTACAGTTCATGTCCTAAATTGCTTGCATGCATTGAAATTTGAAAGAGGTAAAAATATACGTACACATTAAAATGAAAATAGAGTCATAAAATTTTAAAAAACATCTACAGAATGTTGTGTTAGCAACAATGCATTAATTATAAATGGTGTTTACATTCGATTAAAATGAATGCAGCATTGTTACATTATGAACATTTTAAAAAAATCATTTTCTAGACACTTACGTAGTTTGTCTTCAACACTAAAGACCCTTGATTTAGCCCAATCTTGATAGTAAGTTTTGTTTGGGGGAATGTTCCAGCCAAGTTTTGCTCCGACAATGTGGTACATGGCGCTTGTCCGTCCTGTCATCAGGTTGCAGATTGCTACCAAGAGCAACAAGGAAAGCTGAAACTTATTCATTTTTCTGGGGGATTTGTATCTTTATCTCTTGATTTTGTTGGGTTTTGTATTGAATGAGAAATGGGGTTTCTTTTCAGCACATATATAAATAGAAGACAATTTCTAAATTGGTTTATCAAAGTACTATTTGGAGTTTTGGTATGTGTGGTGGAAAATGACCTTTTTTTTTTGTTTGCTCTTCGAAGGCTTGATGGAGTCAAATACAACTTGATCCCTATGTTTAGGAAGTAAAAGCTGTATCCTTTTTTGTTATATTTTTATTTTGACAATTGTCACAACTAATATTTTATATGTGCCATGGTGATAGGTTAGTAACATGAGACGAGGGACAAAAAGTTTACTCAAGGAGGTTTAAATTACGAATCTTACATATTTTTTACAGAATTTTCAATATATATTATTTCACAACGAAATCATTTTAAAAGTATATAGTTTTTATAATTTACTTGTTACCATTTGATACTTTTTAGTCTGTTAAATTTTCGTTTAGTCTAAAACTTATATTATTCGTAGTATTAAAATATAGTATTCATAGGCGGTTAAAAAATACCAAAATTTTGTGATGTTCTTATTAAAAAAAAAAAAAAAAAAAAAAAAAAAAAAAAAAAAAACCCAATTAAAATTATTTAAAAGAAGAGCTCTAAAATAGCATTAATTTGTCTTCTTCCTTTTTTGTTTTGTCTTCTTCCTCTTTTCTTTTCTTTTTTTTTTTTTTTTTTTTTTTGTTCGGGGTGGCCGGGGCCCTATCAGTCCCTTGATAGGTCCGCTCCTGCATGAGACAACAATGACTTGTTCAATGGTTATGTAACTTATCATTTGAATTGTAAATGCAAACATTTTAAATTTGATAATCACTAGAAACAAGTTTTAATTTATATGCATGTAGGTGATGTTATGTATCAGTATCTGATGGAAAGACTGTTGAATTCGAAGCCTTAAGCTATAAATAGGCTGATGCACAACTACCGTTAAAAAAATGGGGGCTGATAAAGAACTTAATTTGTCCTGTGAACTTTCGAGGTTACCTTTGTTACGCCCTCAAAATGGACTCATTATATATTTGTCATTGACACGCAATATTTAAAGTAAACAATTCATTATCTCATTCATCAGAGTATTTCTAAATAAAAGCATTATTTGTAACATCAAATTAAATGTCCTACGGCTTACATCTTTCCAAGCCAACACTTGAACACAAAAATATGAGTTCTAACTCAAATACAAGTAAAGCCCTAGGCTTGAATGTTTACATGTACTATCAAATCAAAACAACTAACTGAAGATAGTCTTCAAAATCCAAAAGTCAATTCCTTCCAAGCTAAGTCCTTGGAGGTAGCTTATCACCTGAACCTGAAAATGATGCTCCCACAAAGGATGAGCCACAGCCCAGTAGAAAAAATACTAAACCAAATATAAGCATTGAATAAAGCTATAGCATTCAATATATGGTTAACCAAGATAATCAATTGTATCATTGTACAGTCTCATGACACTAATGTCTAAGACACATTTCACTTTCCATTATTATCAACATGGCTCAGAACCTGGCCAAACTTACAACAGTGAATTATATATATAATATTCACATTCTTCCAATATCAACAAACAAATGAGACTCAAGCTCAAATCAAAACACTTCATACTTCCAGATTGATACACATTTTAGTGCTGTATCAACAAAAACACTTCTATATAAATAAGCACACATAAAAGTGATGCTAATGGAGTCCATCCCCTATCTCCTCCCAAACAAAAATACATATACAATGTATTAAACACTTGTCATATACAACACACAATCAATACATGTATTTTTTGTATGAATTCAACAGTCAAAATCAATGACTTAACCAATGCGATTAGTTTCAGTTTTCCCTAATCCACATGCAATGTCTACAACAAACACGACTATCCTCCACCGATAGCCCAAAACAGTTATTTCTAGACTGGAAATAAATATATCAACAATTCAATAGGCGAGTGATTTTAATTATCCAACTACACCATTTAATCAATGAATTCTTCAATTTCATGCATTTAACCAATTTCCCCAATTTCCTTAAATTAATTATACAAATTAATTTATTAATACAACTAGGGTTTTTCCCAAAATTACCAAAGTACTCCCAACATATCAAAATACCAAAACTTAGAACAAAACTTATAGGATGGAGTAGGAAATCCTTACCTCGAAGAAAATAACCCGAATGGAGAAGACGAAGATGAAGACCTAAGTTCCAAAGTGCTCCAAACCACCAAACGTTCAGATTAAATGGAAGCCCTTGACTCACTCTATCTTTTTAATAAAGGACTAAGGTTAGATCCTCACCCTAGTTAGATCAATTCTTAGAGAGAAGGCAGGTTTAGAGAGAGAGAGACTCTCAAGGGGCGGTTTTTAAAAGTTAAGAAAGAAAAGTAGGTCAAAAAGTGATCCAAAAAGTGAAATCACGGACTGATGTAGTCGACTCCCCGCTCGAGCGTCGAAACTCCCGCTCGAGCGTCGAATACGCACTCCCAGTACTTTTGCAGAACCAGGTCCCCGCTCGAGCGTCCAACTCCACGCTCGAGCGGCACTCACACATTTCCGCTCGAGCGTCCAATCCCACGCTCGAGCGTCCAACACTGCTCAGGAAATACTGGATGGGTGATAATCCCGCTCGAGCACCAAAACCCCCGCTCGAGCGGACAAGCAACAAAAGAAACCCCGCTCGAGCGTCAAACTCCCGCTCGAGCGGACAGGTCAAAATCTGGACAACTAGTTTAGGCATCTAAACTTAACCGACCTGTAACAGACCCGCCCAACACATCCTTTAACTCAAATACAAAGAGATTAAAGGACGACAACAACCAATATATACTGACAGGATCCACGGAACCTAAGTCCGGATACAATAATCTAAAGGAAAAAGACCGGGGTTGCTATAAACTTAGGAAAAGTATCACCATTTTCTTCATTTCGCAAACAACAAAAAAATAAAAAAAATAAAAAATATGTTTGTATAGGAAGTTACAGAATAAAATTTAAAAATAAAAAAGAAAAAAAAAAAAAAAAGAAAGAAAGAGAAAAAAAAAAAAAAAAAAAAAAAAAAAAGAGGGAAAGTGTATTTGCAAAAAAAAAAAAAAAAAATCATTTTTTTGGTTTCATTAGTCATAAAAAAAATGAATGGGCATATTATTTGCCTTATTTTAAAAGCAATAAAATCTAAACTCCTTTTTTCTTTTTTCTTTTTTCTTTATTTTTTTGGGGGTAATTTTTCCTTTTTCTTTTGGTCTAAACTCTTTTTCACTTCTTACTTTTTGTTTTTAAATTTAGTTTGGTAGGCCCAAATCTTCCTAGTTAACTAATTTAAAGTATTATCTAATCATAATTTATTTCTTCTGTGAAGATTTAAGAATCTACATAAAGTTGGATTAGAAATAAAACACATGACATATTTATTAAATTTTTGAGATAATAATATCTTTATTTGGTGATTTATTTTGTACTTTACTGTGAAAATAAGAAAAACAAAGTACAAATGAGATCATTAAATAAGTGTATTATTATCCTAAAAAGATTAATAGCAACTATTATTATTCTAAAAAAATAATTATGTATTATGTTGTTTAAATCACGGGACAAAATGTGTCATTGCCTTGTTTGGGAAGAGGGTTGAAGGCTAAAGTAGTTAATAAAAATAAAATAGGTTAAAATAATTCATAAGATAAAATGTTACATTTAAATTTTAATTATTTCATTTTTCTTTTACAATTATCGAATCAACTATAAAAAAATAAAATAAAAAAATCAACTATCTTTCCAAATCTAATTTTTTTAACCAGATTAAAATATATAAAAAGTCAAAAATACTAACTAAAATAATCAAATTCCTAAACAGGACCATCTTTTCACAAATTTATTCAAAATTTACTTTAATTTGTTTTTTAAAATAAAAACTACTTATTTAACTCTTTCTATACGTGACCTTAATTTTTAGAAAAAATTGGTCTAACATCCCTCTCCAACTTTTAGTAATGGGAGAGGTCCATGATATTTTTTTTATAGCCTAAGGTCCCTCACCCATACCAATTTGTTTTTTAAAATAAAACTACTTATTTAACTCTTTCTATACATGACCTTAATTTTTAGAAAAAATTGGTCTAACATCCCTCTCCAACTTTTAGTAATGGGAGAGGTCCATGATATTTTTTTTATAGCCTAAGGTCCCTCACCCATACCCATATATCACACCCACCCTCTTATTCTCTCTCCATGCCCTGCCTCCGATTCCAAACCTTGGCCCTCTGAAATCAATTCCTTTCTCGACAACTCAATCCCCGAAATGTCCAAAATCGGATCCAATTTCCCAACAACCCAATTAGACACTTGTGCAATCTGTTGCCTGACTAAGACCCGAGAGTTCACTCCGATTGAGGTAATTCTTGGTGGATCGATGAAGATATTGAGAGAGACACCAACCTCGGTGATAATGAGGTTCAAGGTTGGAAGTGTAGAGCCGGCTCATCACCACACTTTTGGACATGATTTGGTGGTGCTGAAGGGAAGCCAAAGGGTGTGGATTTTAAGCAAGAAAGAGAATTACGATTTGGGTGTTGGTGATTTCTTGTTCACGCCGGCTGGGGATGTGCTTTGGGTGAAGTATTTTGAGGATACTGAGTTTTTCATCAAGTGAGGTGGGCATTAGGATCTTTTGATGGATGAGGATTTTGATGCTGCCAATGCTTCTATTCAAGAGAAGATTTAGTTGGTGGGTTGGTGTGAAAATGGAGGTATGGGTGAGCAAACGAAAGAAAATTATGTTAGCTTTTTAATCAATTTTTTCTGATTAAGTCAACGTACAAAGAAAATGGTTAGTAAATCGGAGAGAAATTCTGGAATTTTCAAAGAATTTCTCTGGGTTTAACCCATAGAAAATTCAAATTTCTATGGGTTCGTTTTGACTAATTTTCTCTGGGTTCAAATTTAAATTCAAATTTCTCTAAGTTCATTTATAAACCAGAGAAAATTTAAATTTTTCTGGATTCATTTTAACTAATTTTCTCTGGATCGTAAAGACACATTATTTTATGAAATCCAGTGAAATTCCTGAATACATCTTCAAAAAACTAATCATTACATAAATTTATTCCAACAACTGTTAATAAGTTAAAACAAACCAAAAATCAAATTTGAAAAAGACTAGAATTACCTACTACAATATTCATCATTGATTAAATGACCCACAAATTTATGAACTAAAAAGTTCTACAAAAATCCTGAGAAATTTTCTCTGGAGTTTTTGTGAATTTCTCTGGATTGAGAGAATTTCTCTAGGTTGAAGTGAGTCCAAAGAAATTATGGTAAGTCGAATTTTTTCTGGTGTAGATTGAATTTTTGATTGAATTTCTCTAGTTTGGACTAGAGAAATTCTCTAGTTTGGAAATCTATAGTTTGTTTATGTATATTTCTTTGTTTCAATGCTCACCAACCATTTGGTTTTGAGTAAATTTTAAGTTCATCATGAGATTACAAATGTTTGGGGTTTGAAGGATTCTGACTTGTTTGCTATATATGTTAAAAGAGTTTGAATCCAGTAAAATTTCAATTTTCTCTGCCCTATTTGGAATTTTTTCTGTGATGTATCCAGAGAAATTCTGAATTTTCTCTGTGATGTATCCAGAGAAATTCTCTGGATCGAATTTTCTCTGAATCAATGTTGAGGGACCTTAGACATTATGAAAATATTGAGTGTCTTTTATGTTATAAAATCTTAATATCGGAGATCTTAAAAAAAAATCCCCTAATTTTTAACCAACCCTCCTATATTCTTCTTGCAAATCTTAAAACCGTAACTACCCACAAAACCCAAAGCCAGAAAGACATGGATGAATCTTGAAACCCTCAACTCGTATGTCCACAGGAGGCACTCGATTTACTCAACTGCACCATTGAATCTCCTTTTGATCAAAACAAGTGCCATCGTCTCTTGCAAACCTTGCCTGACTGCGCCCAAGCCAAGGTATATATATAATCATGTATCTATTTGTGATTGTGTTATATATGTGTTCTTCTTCTGTATTGTTATGTTGTTCCATTGTGGGTTGCATTATGCTTGAATTTATTGGGTTTGAGATCAATTTTTAATCTGATAAATAGGGCCACTGAAACTTTGATTGGTAAACTAGGTGAGAAAAAAATTGATAAGAATATAATTTCTCATTAGAAGGGAAAAGGAATAATCGTGATTTTTCATCATTGTGTTTGGATGATCAATGTATAAAAGGGGAAATGCTAAAATGTGCACATAGTTATAAATAAATAAATAAAAATTACGATTTTTGTGGTGAGAGTTAACAAAGTTTTTGTTTTTTGTGGTTAAAGTTTTATACTTTTATGATGAGTAAAAGGTTATATCTTTGTGATGAACAAAAGGTTATAAGGTGCAAAAAGCTATACATTTTGTGATAGAAATTATATTTTTTGTATAAGAAGCTTACTTGCACCCTTTTTGGGGTGCACATGGTGGCCTTACCCATATAAAAGAGGGCATATGTGTCATTTTATTTTCAATGTTTTGCAGTTAGATGGACAATTTAGATATATTAATATATATATATATATAAAATAAAGCAGGACGGTTTTTGAAAATATGTCAAAATGTATCAGAGATACATTTTATTTTAATGGCTCAGATCATTCTTCAGACTATATCAACGGTTCTGATATATTTACTTCCCGCCCAAACACTTCTCTTCCTTAACCTTCCCACCTACCCACGTCACCTCCTCATTCCCTCTCTCTCTCTCTCTCTCTCTCGCTCTCTCTCTCTCTTTCTCTCTCTGTTCTCACCTACGTCTCTTCATCCTTCTTTCTTTATCTCTCTCTTTCCATCTCTGTTTCTTCTTCAACAGAACCATCTCGACCACCGCCATCACGACCACCTCCCCTCTTCCTCACCGGACCATTTCTGTTTCTCCTTCTTCATTTGAACCCTCTCGACCATCGCCATCGTGATAGCCTCTCCCTCATCCCCTTTCATCACTTCAGTCCTCTTCTCCTTGCAACAAATCTCGCTAAAACCCTTTTTGCCTCTTTGCTACCGACACTTGGCAAGGTACGATTTTTGTTTGTTTTGATTTAGGTTGTTTTTGGCTGGGTTCGATTGTTTTTTGATGGTTTGTCTTCGGCTACGATCGGCTCCCTTCAAACTCCCACTCGTAAGGTGATGCTGTGTTTTCCCAAGAACAATTCAATTTTTGAAATACTCTCTTCGACTGCTTTGTCTGGGTTAAGGTTTCCGAAGAACAGTTCAATTTTTTAAATACTCTCTTCAGAAATATTTTGTGAGTTTCTAATAGAGTCAAATTCAATTGCTTGCTTCAATTGCTTTGTCTAGGTTAAGGGTTCCCAAGAACAGTTCAATTTTTTAAATACTCTCTTCGGAAATATTTGGAGAGTATTGGGCAAAAAAAAAAAAACTCTCAATTCTAATAGAGTCAGATTCAATTGCTTGCTTGCTTGCTTCAACTGCTTTGTCTGGGTTAAGGGTTCCTAAGAACAGTTCACTTTTTTAAATACTCCCTTCGGAAATATTTTGGGAGTATTGAGCAAAAAACAAAAAATCTCAATTCTAATAGAGTCAGATTCAATTGCTTGTTTGCTTGCTTCAACTGCTTTGTCTGGGTTAAGGGTTCCCAAGAGCAGTTCAATTTTTTAAATACCCTCTTTGGAAATATATTGGGAGTATTGAGCAAAAAAAAAAAACTCTCAATTTTAACAGAGTCAGATTCAATTGCTTGCTTGCTTCAACTACTCTTGAGTTTGTATTTGTTTGTGTTAAGGGTTTCCAGAATCCAATCACTCTATAAATATCTGGACTGACTCTAATATTTTCTATCTGTGAAATCTTCAGAATCTCCATTTGTGTCTGAATATGGCAAGGAAGCTACTACTGGTTTGAAGGTAATTTCACATGCTTCCAACTCAACCTTTCTTTCTCTTAGGCATTTATTATTTCTAAATCTTTTAATGGGTTTTGTGAGTCTCCTTCCTCCACCGTCGAGAGTTTGATGAGTTAGCCACCATGTCTTCCCAAAGCAAACACAAAGAGATGGATTTGATGAAACTATAAATCTCCATTTTTTTTTTTCTTCCATTTCATTTATTATTATTATTTTTTAATTGTTGGGTTTTGATTGTTGTGAAATAGTAAATCTCCAATTTTTTTTTCTTCCGTTTAATTTATTATTATTTTTTTTGTTTTTGACTCTAATATTTTCTGTTTGTGAAATCTTCAGAATCTCCATTTGTGTCTGAATATGGCAAGGAAGCTACCGCTGGTTTGAAGGTAATTTCATATGCTTCCAACTCAACCTTTATTTCTCTTAGGCTTTTATCATTTCCAAATCTTTGAATGGGTTCTATGAGTCTCCATCCTCCACCATCGAGAATTTGATGAGTTAGCCATCATATCTTCCCAAAGCAAACATAGAGAGATGGATTTGATGAAACTATAAATCTCCAAAAAAAATTTCTTCTTCCATTTCATTTATTATTTTTTTGTTTTTTGTTTTAAATTATTGGGTTTTGATTGTTGTGAAATAGTAAATCTCCAATTTTTTTTCTTCCATTTAATTCATTATTATTTTGTTTGTTTTTTAATTGTTGGGTGTTTTAATTGATGAGTGACTATAAGGTGGAGACAATCAATGATGGTATGCAAGAGTTCTATGCGGATTTTCATGGTCCCAAAGACAATAAATCATCTATACCCATCTCTGATTTTTGTAAAATTTTTAATTTTATATTTTAACAGGCGGTTAATGGCTGCTATAATTTTTATTTTTAATTTTAACAAGCGGTTAATGGAATCATTCTGAAGGATCACCTCAGGTTTGTGGCTACGATGGTAACAAGAAGTTAATGTATTTCACTGCTTTGCTAACCAGTCATTGTGTGAAAAGTTTGCTATGCTAATTAAAATTTGAACATGAACATTCTTCTACAGTTTATTTGTTATTATAATTTTTTTCATATCTAAAATTTTGTACACTTACTATAATGGTAATTCTACTGCAATCACACATATAAATAACTAACAACAGGTTAATGTCTCTCTCTCTCTCTCTCTCTCTCTTATTTGTTGTGGGTTTTAGTATAATTTTGAAGGAAGATGTGGCTTGGTTCGATTCACAAAGGTTGTTCAGAAAGCAAGGCTATATGTTCTTCTTCGCATTGGACCTTATGTTTGTGCAGAGTGGAATTTTGGGTAGTCACATTTTTGGTTATGTATTTTAATGTTTTAATTTATATACATTTGATGAGTTTTTGAGATTCAATTTTTTTTCTTTTAAATGTTTGATTTTCTTTTGCTTTTGTGTTTTTAGGGGTTCTCCTGTTTGGTTGATGTATGTTCCAGGCATTAGCTTTAGGACAGATAATGAACCTTTCAAGGTCTCTCTCTCTCTCTCTCTCTCTCTCTCAAGATTTTGTAAATTAAGCCATTACCTTAATAGATAATTATTGGTGTTGCAGACAGAGATGCAAAGGTTCACCCAAAAAATTGTCCAAATGATGAAGGATAAGAAGTTGTATGAGTCTCAAGGTGGTCCTATCATCATCTCCCAGGTGTGGCTTTTTGTGTTTCTTTGCCTCTTTATATTTGCTGTGTTATAGTGATTTTTCCATAATAAAGTTTATAATTTTGTCTGAATTTATGTATGATGTAGTGGAATAAAATAGATATCATTCTAGAATGGGTGTTTCCATAATAAAGTTTACAAGCTACTCCTCGGATCCTTCACAAATCCAATTAATGGTATCATCTCTCTCTTATTTTGGTTTCTATGAATGGGTGTTTTCTATATGTCTATTTTCTCTGGTTTATCTTTATTTGGGTTTATGAAATTGTTCTTTTAATGCCTTTGGTTCAATTCTGAGCATGATTTACTTTCGGTGCAATGTTTGGTTGTTGAGAATTTAAAGAAAAAAAGGGAAAGTATATTGAGAGCCATGAATTAGTAACCCAATTGTTAATGCAACCTGTGCTATTGTTCCTAAACCATGGGTCTCCAATTAATGCCTATGTTTGGTAATGGGTGTTTTCTATATGTTTATTTTCTCTGGTTTATCTTTATTTGGGTTTATGAAATTGTTCTTTTAATGCCTTTGGTTCATTTCTGAGCATGATTTACTTTCGGTGCAATGTTTGGTTGTTGAGAATTTAAAGAAAAAAAGGGAAAGTATATTGAGAGCCATGAATTAGTAACCCAATGTTAATGCAACCAGTGCTATTGTTCCTAAACCATGGGTCTCCAATTAATGCCTATGTTTGGTTATATTTGTGTGGTAGTAGGCTGCCAAAGGAAAAGTTCTTGCAACATTTTTCTCTCTCTCTCTCTGCTCAAATAAATTGTGCACAATTTTAGTTTGGGTATCGTTTTAGTTTTCCCTTATTTTGCTTTAAAGTTAATGATTTTGGTTGTGATTTTTGAAATGGATTTGATGGGTTTTGAAATGTGTTTGAATCTTTAGTTTTTGAAATTCCTCGCTCCTCTTTCTTTGTTGATTTCATTGTTTTTACCAGTTACCAAATAGAAATTTCCGACTCTAGAGCAGGAATTGAACTACTTGACATGATTCTCACCAAGGTAATCTCTTTTTCCTTCTCTTTCTGCTCTGTTTTGTTACCCAAAAAATGTGCAAAATAAAAACATTTGAATGTTTTTTGAATGTATTAACTATAAGACCATTACACGGTTGGTCCAATTGATTCAGGGTGCTAGCATATGCTTAAATGAATTTTATTTGCGACATGGTACTAGAAGTGCTCTTGTTATACCGATGGAATAATGAGTGATTTGATTGTTTCATTAAACATCATTTTCTTGAATGGAAGGTTGGAATATGATGTTGGGAATGTTTACTCCAAATCTAGATAGAGCTTGGAGTTGGTTGTTCCCTTTTAAAAACCTTCTTTTTGTGCTTCCCTCCCTGCTACCTACATAAGAATCCAGATGTGACTTCTCCTATAGCTAGTTTGGTATAGGGGAAGCTCCTCTACCCTTTCCTCCTTGAACTCAACTGATTTGTCATATAGGTTGGGCATACAAGGGGTTATAATGGGGGTCATGGGGCCTTCCAATTTTTTGAGAGCAAAACCATGTAGAAATGAGATACCACTTTAATTTTTAGGAGGACATGATTGATTTGTAAACACTTTCATAGGCAAGTTTATTGGCAACTGTTTGTGACCAAAAAAAAAAAATACAATATTGTATACCATCTCAACAATTTTGACCTTTTGCTTACATTGTTGCTTTTGAAATAGTATAATAGCTTCAATAAAGCAGTTATATTTTCATACATAGTATTGCTTATTAGGGGATGATTTCAATGCTTTATCGTGAAATAGATTGCTAAATTGATTATTAGAGGATGATTTCAATGCTTGATTTTGGTTATTAATTTGATAGAACCTTTTGTAGGTCTCATGAGAAAATGTCTCTGAAGATGATAATAGCAGCTTTCTAGCCTTTGAGTTCTACTTTGCTTCTGAAAAATCTTGGCTTCTAAAAATAATACATAAGTTTATGGTAGCATAATCACTAGACAAATTTTTAGAGATTATTTGAGATTTTTTCCCCCTATTTTTTAAAAAACACATTTTTTCTTCTATGCTGAGATATATGTGTGATTTTCAACAGGAAACGATAATTGGTTGCTCTGGTGTAATTTTCTTCTCTTATAGCCAGTTCAAGGCGTTCAAGGATCTTCTAGTGTTTATTACTGTAAAATATTTCATTTCGCCTCTGAACTCTTTTTTATGCTTTTACTCCAACTTTAATTCCTCATCTTATTTTCCTATTGTTTATTCTCTTCTGTTTTAAAGTTCAAAATAGAAGCTTTTCTTATATTATATTGTTGCAAGTATGCCACTTATCTCTTTTCACTTCCTTTGGTTTGTGTGTGTTATTTTGTGTTTATAATTTTTTTTCTTGACTTGCTTAGCAAGGATGTTTTTATTTTTAATTTTTGTGTTGATATGAAGTTTATATTTTAGAGTCATAAAGTTTGTTAATAAAACCAAAATGCTTATGATTGATTTACTTGTTGTACTTTGAATAATTGATTAGGAAATGTTTACTTTCAAAATATACAACTAAACATATTTTCAAATTTTAAAAAAACAAAAAAATATTTTCAAAATTAACTTAACCTTGATTCATATTTTGACATCAATATTTTTAGCAACAAATGGAATAAATTATATTTTAACCTAACAATTTTATATTCAATTACATTTTGATTTCATCATTATACACTAGTGTTATTATAAATTGTCAAATTACTCTATTTTTTACACATTTTCAAAAAACAAAAAATAAAAAACTAACATTCCAAACCATTGTAACTTCACTTAAAATGTAAAGAAATTAATTGTCACAATTGATAGTGAAAGGACTAGTGAAATTATAAAAAATGCAAGCAGCCAGAGGATAATATTAACTCAATTAAAAACCACCCAAAAGTCTGCAATGGAGAACTTGTAGTTTAAGAAGTGTTGAAGACACACTCACACACGCACACTCTCTCACACACGCACATATATATATATATATATATATATAGAGAGAGAGAGAGAGAGAGAGAGAGTTACTAGTGAAGGAAATGAAGTTGAAATGAAAATAGCAAAACTTTCCACATTGATTCCCCAAGTTTATATGAAAAAAATGAACCTACCTTTAAATTTCTTCACAAATATTTTATTTTTTAAGTCCACATAAGTTAAGAAACAAATTTTTTTTAAATATATAAAAATTTCACTAAAAACAAAAAAAAATTAAAAATCATTTTTAACATATTTTAACAGTGTTAAGATTTTGAATCAATATTTAAATTAAATCTTTTTTCATTTGAGTAAAAAATGAATAAAACTCAATTTGATATTAGTACGAAACAAAAAATTTAAATGAATTTTGAATATTTTTTTATCGAAATTTTATTTTGAGTCAATATATGGATGTGAATGCATTTTGCATAATTTGATTGCAAGAACATCTTAAGTTCACTCCCATTCAACTCATTTGGTTGATTGTGACATAGTTACAACCAATATTTTTCTCAAGCTCTAAGTCGGAATAAAATTAGATTATAACTCTAAATAACATTCCCAACGACTGGTCTCAAGACATTAAATAATTTTGAAAAATTCTAAGTACACATAAATCGGATTATGTGCTAGACTCAATAGTTTTTCTAATATGATACATGAGTCACACAAATTGTTCATGGTCCTTTGCATTGTAAAACAAGGTAGACAATTCTCAAAAAATATATAAATAAAAGAAAAAGAAAAAAAGATAGAAGTTAAGGAAGCTCATAACTGAGAGAGAGAGAGAGAGTAAAATCCAATCTGTAAATGACAAATGCCCTTGTGCTTAACTTGGAAACAAGTAGAGAGTAAATAATCACACATTCTAGTAGTATAATTATGTAGCAAAATGATGACAATCTAACTCATTTCTGTGTGTAAAGGCATAGACAAACCACAAACCAGTCCAGAAAGCAAGAACAGTAGCCGTGATTTCAGGTAGCCAAACTGAGAACATTTTTCAATCCCAGTTGCAACACGCACTATTTTTTTGGACAAAATTTCGAGGCCATAAGCAGCCACCTTCCCTCAAGAACAGCCTTGGTTGTGAGGGATGGAAAAGGATAACCTCAAACAATTAAATGGATAGAAATCAAGAGGCAAATTAAATAGGAGATATAAAAAGGTTGGTAGCAGTAAAGGAACAATAATTCTCCCTCATTTGTTCAACACAACACAAGCTTGTTGTTTGTCGATAAGAGAAAGGATTTTGTTAACACATGCGCCCCCAGGGCACATGTTAAAAAGGCTTAAAAGAATTATACATTCTTTATTGCACTAAAATACAATCTTTTAAAACCTTCTTAACACGTGAATAATGGATTCGAGAAGGGAAAGAAAAAGGTGAAGGAAATGGAGAAAAAATTTAGTATATATTTCATTCATATTTTCCTTTCCCTTTCAAAATTCCTACCCAAAATCCATAATCCAAATCCAGCCTAACAGAACCTCCAAGCTCTCCCCTTCCCTTTGGCTTCTTTCCTTCCTCCCACAAGTACCAAACAGAGCATTTTTCTTCCAAGTATTACAATATCCTACATAATTTCAATTGCATTTCCGATATGTTTTTTCCATTGATAGAAGAAAATTTTGTTAGAATTCCAGTCCTAAACGAAGCCAATATCAAGTAACCATAACCATAAAAAAAGAATTGAACAGCATTGTGGTTACAGCAAATACCAAAAAACCAAGAACACATGGACATAAAACTAACTCTATGCATTCTCATGTTAGCAATTGAATCTTACAATCGGAAGGCCCTTCAAGTTCCAATTAAAGGCTTAAAAACAACGCAAAGATAGATCAATCGATGACGAGAACGTTTGCTTGTGTATATATGTACATATGTATGCAAACATGAATCACAATACACACATCAATTGATCAGAAGTGTTACCTGATTTGTAGAACAATGAAAGCCCAAAGTCAGTAGCTTTCAACGGCGAGTCCTCATCGGTGCTCAAGAACAAGAAATTCTCAGGCTTCAAATCCCTATGCATCACCCCTATAGAATGACAATTATGCACAACAGTTACGATCTGGTGGCAGAGATCCGCAAAATTAAGATTCCCTCAAAATCAATGGCCCAAAAATTTTTACTTGCTGAAAAGAACTTTCCATAATTTCCGAACTCTACTCAAATTTTATTTTCAAAAAATTTCCAAGGAATTTTAGATCTCATTCGAAGAAATCAATCAACCAATTACTTTATAGTCAAATGTCTTCTAAGGAAATTCAAAATTTTATTTCAAAGTGAAAGACTTTCAAAATTTTATTTCAAAATGAAAGACTCGGTCATTACCTCCTTATCTAACACTTTTCCAAAAAATCAAATTCCCTCCAAAGTCAAAAACCTAAAGATTTCTGTCTAATCAAAAATTTTCCAAAATTTCTAAAATTCTACACGGGTTTTCTTTCAAAATTCTTTCCTCCCAAGGAGCTTTGGATTTTATTCCAAATATCTAATCAAACAATTGTCCCCTTAGTCAAATATCTTTTAGGGGATTTTGAATTTTATTCAAAATTGAAGATTTGGTCACCACTTCCTCATCTACTATTTTCCATAAAAGTTGAAATTCCCCCTAAAGTCGATGACTTAAAGATTCTTATTCAATCAAACACCATAACCTCCAAGGCTATAATTAAGTTGGAGAGTTTCTATTTTTTAGAAGTTATTCTTTAATCACATGTTTTCTTGGGTATTTAAATTTTAAAAAGGCCATCATTTTATTTTTTTATTTTTTATTTTTTAATTTTATCACTAAGGTAAGAACCCAAATTCAAACTCAAATTCTTTAAAATTGAGAAACCACCCTCCTGATTTACTATTGATTACTCAAATCATGATCAAAACATTAATCACTGCCTAAATTCAACCCACAAATCTTTGTAATTGGATCATTGCCCCGAATAACTCGGATTGCCACGGAATCAAATCTTTGCCATATCAGACTCCCCAGATTTTGGGAATAAAATCACTAACTTTCTCGTTGTTAGACCGCTGGAATCAAATCAAATCATTTCCAAAATATCACATAAGCACATAATTTGCTTTCATGCCTATTGGGGGAGGGGGGGTAGGGTTGCCCTGTCCTAATTTAGAAATCAGACCTAGGATTCACTAAATCATCCAAAGAGGCAATAATACAATCCTAGAAAGGAGGGTATCCTGCCCTAGTTTGGAAGGTGCTAATGCTCTCTATATGCAAAAGGTAAGTTTGGTCACAAAATGGTACATCAGTTATTACTATCAAAATACCACTCCTTCCACAAAGGAATGATCAAACAGTACTAGTAGCATAATCTCATGCTTGCCTCATTGACATAACATAACCCACGAATTGTGTCCGAGATATTATGCAACAAACCTCAGGAAAGGCGAATTGACCCAGCCAATTTTGTTTCACGCTTACCATTGGATCTTGAAGTAATCATCATCACCCATTAGGTGATAGTTGCCTGACCAAGAGAATTTTGAGGAATTTAAACGATTCCTACCAGAGTGATCAATCTAAACAATTGTCTTTCCATTATTTATTATCTCCCTAAATGTGCCCCAATTTATGTTCAAAAGTGCGTGATCAAATTTCAACTTCTATTTTTTTCAAAATCCTTTTTCAAAATAAAGTGCCGTTTTTCTTATTTAAAATTTCAATGTTTGCCTTTCCTCTTTTTTTTCAAAAGTTTTGAGGAGTTCGGATTTTATTCCAGGGAATCAACCAAACGATCACCCTTTAGCCAAATACCTTGTAGAGGAACCAAAATTTTATTCGAAATGAGAGACTTGGTCATTACTTCTTTGTCTAACATTTCTCCATAAAATTAAGGTTCCTTCAAAGTCAGTGGCCCAAAGGTTTTTACTTGATGAAAAGAACTTACCATAATTTCAGAATTCTATTCAAATTTTATTTTCAAAAAATTTCCAAGTAATTTTGGATCTTATTCCAAGAAATCAATCAAACAGTAACCTTACAGTCAAATGTCTTCTAAAGAAATTCAAAATTTTATTTCAAAGTGAAAGACTCGGTCATTACCACCTTATCTAACACTTTTCCATAAAATCAAATTTCCCCTAAATGTCAAAAACCTAAAGATTTCCGTCTAATCAAAAACTTTTCATAATTTCTAAAATTCTACTAGGGTTTTCTTTCAAAATTCATTCCTCCCAAAGAGCTTTGGATTATACTTGAAATATCTAATAAAACAACTATCTCCTTAGTCAAATATCTTTTATGGGATTTGGAATTTTATTCAAACTTGAAGATTTGGTCACCACTTCCTTATCTACCATTTTTCATAAAAGTTGAAATTCAAGATAAAGTCAATGACTTAAAGATTCTTATAAAATCAAACGCCATCCATAACCTCCAAGACTCTACTTAAGTTGGAAAGTTTCGTTTTTTTAGAAGATATTCTTTAATCACATGTTTTCTTGAGCAGTTAAATTTTAAAAAGGCAAACATTCTGTTTTTTATTTTTTTTGGATCACTAACTTGGGAAACCACCCTCCTAACTTACTACTGATTACTTAAATCATGATCAAAATATCAATCACTGCCTAAATTCAACCCACAAATCTTTGTAATTGGATCATTGCCCCAAACAACTCAAATTGCCACAGAATCAAATCATTGCCATATCAGACTCCCCAGATTTTGGGAATGAAATCACTGTCTTTCTCGTTGTTAGATCGCTGGAATCAAATCAAATCATTTTCAAAATATCACATAAGCACATAATTTGCTTTCATGCCTATTGGGGGAGGGGGGGTAGGGTTGCCCTGTCCTAATTTAGAAATCAGACCTAGGATTCACTAAATCATCCAAAGAGGCAATAATACAATCCTAGAAAGGAGGGTATCCTGCCCAACCCACAAATCTTTGTAATTGGATCATTGCCCCGAATAACTCGGACTGCCATGGAATCAAATCATTGCCATATCAGACTCCCCAGATTTTGGGAATGAAATCACTGTCTTTCTCATTGTTAGATCGCAGGAATCAAATCAAATCATTTCCAAAATATCACATAAGCACATAATTTGCTTTCATGTTTATTGGGGGAGGGGGGGTAGGGTTGCCCTGTCCTAATTTAGATATCAGACCGAGGATTTACTAAATCATCCAAAGAGGCAATAATACAATCCTAGAAAGGAGGGTATCCTATTCTAGTTTGGAAGGTGCTAATGCTCTCTATATGCAAAAGGTAAATTTGGTCACAAAAGGGTACATCAGTTATTACTATCAAAATACCACTCCTTCCACAAGGGAATGATCAAACAGTACTAGTAGCATAATCTCATGCTTGCCTTATTGACATAACATAACCCATGAATTGTGTCCAAGATATTATGCAACAAACCTGAGGAAAGGTGAATTGACCCAGCCAATTTTGTTTAACGCTTACCATTGGATCTTGAAGTAATCATCATCACCCATTAGGTGATAGTTGCCTGACCAAGGGAATTTTGAGGAATATAAACGATTCCTACCAGAGTGATCAATCTAAACAATTGTCTTTCCATTATTTATTATCTCCCTAAATGTGCCCCAATTTATGTTCAAAAGTGTGTGATCAAATTTCAACTTCTATTTTTTTCAAAATCCTTTTTCAAAATAAAGTGCCGTTTTTCTTATTTAAAATTTCAATGTTTGCCTTTCCTCTTTTTTTTCAAAAGTTTTGAGGAGTTCGGATTTTATTCCAGGGAATCAACCAAACGATCACCCTTTAGCCAAATTCAAAAGTTTTGAGAAGTTCAGATTCTATTCCAATAAATGAATCAAACAATCATCCTTTAGCCAAATATCTTATAGAGGAACCAAAATTTTATTCAAAATGAGAGACTTGGTCATCACTTCCTTGTCTAACATTTCTCCATAAAATTAAGGTTCCCTCAAAATCAGTGGCCCAAAGATCTTTAATTGATGAAAAGAACTTTTCACAATTTCTGAACTATAATCAACTTTTATTTTCAAAAAATATCCAAGGAATTTCATATCTTTCTCGAGGAAAATCAATCAAACAGTTACCTTATAGTCAAATGTCTTCTAAGGAAATTCAAAATTTTATTTCAAAGTGAAAGACTCGGTCATTACCACCTTATCTAACACTTTTCCATAAAATCAAATTACCCCTAAAGTCAAAAACCTAAAGATTTCCGTCTAATCAAAAACTTTTCATACTTTCTAAAATTCTACTAGGGTTTTCTTTCAAAATTCTTTCCTCCCAAAGAGCTTTGGATTTTATTCGAAGTATCTAATAAAACAATTGTCTCCTTAGTCAAATATCTTTTAGAGAATTTGGAATTTTATTCAAACTTAAAGATTTGCTAACCACTTCCTTATTTACCATTTTTCATAAAAGTTGAAATTACGGATAAAGTCAATGACTTACAGATTCTTATAAAATCAAACACTTTCCATAACCTCCAAGACTCTACTTAAGTTGGAAAGTTTCTTTTTTTTAGAAGTTATTCTTTAATCACATGTTTTCTTGGGCATTTAAATTTTAAAAAGGCAAGCATTCTTTTTTTTTTCTTTTTTTTTTTTATCACTAAGGTTCTTTAAACTCAAATTCTTTAAAATTGGGAAACCACCTCTTAATTTACTATTGATTACTCAAATCATGATCAAAATATGAATTACTGCCTAAATTCAACCCACAAATCTTTGTAATTGGATCATTGCCCCAAATAACTCGGATCGCCACAGAATCAAATCATTGCCATATCAGACTCCCCAGATTTTGGGAATGAAATCACTAACTTTCTCGTTGTTAGACCGCTGGAATCAAATCAAATCATTTCCAAAATATCACATAAGCACATAATTTGCTTTAATGCCTATTGGGGGAGGGGGGGTAGGGTTGCCCTGTCCTAATTTAGAAATCAGACCTAGGATTCACTAAATCATCCAAAGAGGCAATAATACAATCCTAGAAAGGAGGGTATCCTGCCCTAGTTTGGAAGGTGCTAATGCTCTCTATATGCAAAAGGTAAGTTTGGTCACAAAATGGTACATCAATTATTACTATCAAAATACCACTCCTTCCACAAGGGAATGATCAAACAGTACTAGTAGCATAATCTCATGCTTGCCTTATTAACATAACATAACCCACGAATAGTGTCCGGGATATTATATAACAAACTCGAGGATAGGTGAATTGACCCGGTCAATTTTGTTTAACGCTTGCCATTGTATCTTGAAGTAATCATCATCACCCATTAGGTGATAGTTGCCCGACCAAGGAAATTTTTAAGGAATTTAAACGATTCCTACCAGAGTGATCAATCTAAACAATTGTCTTTCCATTATTTATTATTTCCCTAAATGTGCCCCAATCTATTTTCAAAAGTGCGTGATAAAATTTCAACTTCTATTTTTTTCAAAAACCTTTTTCAAAATCAAGTGCCGTTTTTCTTATTTAAAATTTCAATGTTTCCTTTTCCTCTTTTGTTTGAAAAGTTTTGAGGAGTTCGGATTTTATTCCAAGGAATCAACCAAACGATCACCCTTTAGCCAAACATCTTGTAGAGGAACCAAAATTTTATTCGAAATGAGAGACTTGGCCATTACTTGTCTAACATTTCTCCATAAAATTAAGGTTCCCTCAAAGTCAGTGGCCCAAAGGTTTTTACCCGATGAAAAGAACTTTCCATAATTTCGAAACTCTATTCAAATTTTATTTTCAAAAAATTTCCAACGAATTTTAGATCTTATTCCAAGAAATCAATCAAACAGTAACCTTACAGTCAAACGTCTTCTAAGGAAATTCAAAATTTCACTTCAAAGTGAAAGACTCAGTCATTACCTCCAAATCAACACTTTTCCATAAAATCAAATTCCCTCTAAAATCAAAAACCTAAAGATTTATGCCTGATTAAAAACTTTTCATAATTTTTAAAATTCTACTCGGGTTTTCTTTCAAAATTCTTTCCTCCCAAGGAGCTCTGGATTTTATTCCAAGTATCTAATTAAACAATTGTCTCCTTAGTCAAATATCTTTCTAGGGGATTTCAAATTTTATTCAAAATTGAAGATTTGGTCACCACTTCCTTATCTACCATTTTTCAAAAAACTCGAAATCCCCCCTAAAGTCAGTTACTTAAAGATTCTTATTCGATCAAACACCTTCCATTATCTCCGAGGCTCTATTTAAGTTGGAAAGTTTCTTTTTTTTTTAGAAGTTATTCTTTAATAACATGTTTTCTCGGGGATTTAAATTTTAAAAAGGCAATAATTCTTTTCTTTTTCGTTTCTTCTTTGATCACTAAGGTAAGAACCCAAATTCAAACTCAAATTCTTTAAAATTGGGAAACCACCCCCCTAATTTACTACAGATTACTCAAATCATGATCAAAATATGAATCACTCCCTAAATTGAACCTCCAAATCTTCGTAATTTGATCATTGCCCCAAATAACTCGGATTGCCATAGAATCAAATCACTGCCATATCAGACTCTCTAGATTTTGGGAATGAAATCACTGTCTTTCTCGTTATTAGATCGTTGGAATCAAATCAAATCTTTTCCAAAATATCACATAAGCACATAATTTGAAATCGTGTCTATTTGAGGGATAGGGTTGGCCTGTCCTAATTTAGAAATCAGACCTAGGATTCACTAAATCATTCAAAGAGGCAATAATACAATCCTGGAAGAGAGGGAATCCTGCCCAAGTTTGGAAGCTACTAATGCTCTCTCTATGCAACAGGAGGAAAGTTTGGTAACAAAAGGGTACATCAGTTATTACTATCAATATACCACTCCTTCCACAAGAGAATGATCAAACAGTACTAGTAGCATAGTCTCATGCTTGCCTTATTGACATAACGGCCCTGTTTAGTACAGCTTAATTTCAACTTATTTCAGCTTTCAGCTTAATTTAAGCTATTTGGTTGTGTTTGGTTTAGCTTAACAATACAGCTTATAGCTTTTTGTAAGTCAGAAATCAACTTAGTCTTTGAGTGGGGCAGGAGAAGCTTAATTTATAAGTCAGAAATCAGCTTATGTTCATAGTTATAAGCTATAAGTACTTTCCCACAGCTCTACCAAACAGGGCCAACATAATGCACGAATAGTGTCCTGGATATTATGCAACAAACCCGAGGATAGGTGAATGGACCCAGTCAATTTCGTTTAACGCTTACCATTGGATCGCGAAGTCATCATCATCACCCATTAGGTGATAGTTGACCAACCAAGGGAATTTAGAGGAATATAAAGGATTCCTGCCAGAGTGATCAATCTAAACAATTGTCTTTTCATTATTTATTGTTTCACTAAATGTGCCCCAATTTCTTTTCAAAAGTCCGTGATCAAATTACAAGTTCTATTTTTTTCAAAATCCTTTTTCAAAGTAAAGTGCGGTTTTTTTAATTAAAATTTCAATGTCTCCCTTTCCTCTTTTTTTTCAAAATTTTTGAGGAGTTCGGATTTTATTCCAAGGACTCAACCAAACGATCACCCTTTAGACAAATAACTTGTAGAGGAACCAAAAATTTTTTCGAAATGAGAGACTTGGTCATTACTTCCTTATCTAACATTTCTCCATAAAATTAAGGTTCCCTCAAAGTTAGTGGCCCAAAGGTTTTTACTTGATGAAAAGAACTTTTCATAATTTCGAAACTCTATTCAAATTTTATTTTCAAAAAATTTCCAACGAATTTTAGATCTTATTCCAAGAAATCAATCAAACAGTTACCTTATAGTCAAATGTCTTATAAGGAAATTCAAAATTTCACTTCAAAGTGAAAGACTAGGTCATTACCTCCTCGTCAACACTTTTCCATAAAATCAAATTTCCTCTAAAGTAAAAAACCTAAAGATTTCTGTTTGATCAAAAACTTTTCATAATTTCTAAAATACTAGGATTTTCTTTCAAAATTCTTTCCTCCCAAGGAGCTCTGGATTTTATTCCAAGTATCTAATCAAACAATTGTCTCCTTAGTCAAATGTATTTCTAGAGGATTTCGAATTTTATTCAAAATTGAAGATTTGGTCACCACTTCCTTATCTACCATTTTTCATAAAACTCGAAATTTCCCCTCAAGTCAATGACTTAAAGATTCTTATTCGATCAAACACCTTCCATAATCACCGAGGCTCTACTTAAGTTGGAAAGTTACTTTTTTTTTTAGATGTTATTCTTTAATAACATGCATTCTTGGGGATTGAAATTTTAAAAGGGCAAACATTCTTTTCTTTTTCCTTTTCTTCTTCGATCACTAAGGTAAAATCCCAAATTCAAACTTAAATTCTTTAAAATTGGGAAACAAACCACCTAATTTACTACTGATTACTCAAATCATGATCAAAATATGAATCATTGCCTAAATCGAACCCCTAAATCTTTGTAATTGGATCATTGCCCCAAAATAACTCGGACTGCCACAAAATCAAATCACTGCCACATCAGACTTCCTAAGTTTTGGAAATGAAATCACTGTTTTCCTAGTTAGATCGCTGGAATCAAATCAAATCATTTCCAAAATATCACATAAGCACATAATTTGCATTCATGCCTATTTGGGGGGTAGGGTTGCCCAGTCCGAATTTAGAAGTCAGACCTGGGATTCACTAAATCATTCAAAGAGGCAATAATACAATCCTGGAAAGGAGGGTACCGGCCCTAGTTCGGAAGCTGCTAATGCTCCCTCCATGCAAAAGGGGGTAAGTTTGGTCACAAAAGCGTACATCAGTTATAACTATCAATATACCACTTCTTC